CAGAACTCTGTGTAAGCTGCTCTTGAAAGCTTCAACTGATGGAAAATAAGACGACCTTCCAGAAGGAACTTATTTGAGTGCTTTACTATCAGTGCAAGCAGTAATGAATGTGAGTTTTTGTCTCAGAAGCTCCAGTGATATCATTATTGCTCTTATACTCTGGTGGTTTTTTTTGTTGTTGGGGTTTTTTTTGTTTTAAGATCCCCCTCAGTCTGCTCCACCATTATATTCCCTTTCAACAGAAAGACAGCTATGCCCTATTAGTGACCACAAGATACGGAACTATCAATGCGCTGACACTGCATGAGATGAGAATCTATCATCCACACAAACAGCAACCGGCTTCGGCATCAGTTTGTTTCAAAAGGGGGCTCTCTGGGTGTGTACAAAAAAAAGTACATGTATATTCATCTTCCTATTATATTATCTTGAATGGTTAAAGATGGCTTTCTGCCCCATTCCAAATAACACACCTGCATATAAAACATTTTAGAAAAAATAAAGAACTCCAAAAACTATCAATGTGTGAAAGCAAAGATCTAGCAAAGTGGTGAGGTTAACAATGATTATGTTTGCTCCACGCCACCTGTAATACTTCACTCATAAGTGCACCTGTAAGTAATCTATACAGTAATACTTACAGAACAACCGCTGACCCAGCACAGCAAATTAGCAATCAGCAGAGTCCGAGGCTGAATATTTACAGCTACCTCAAAAACAAGCTGAGGTATCCCAGGTAACTTGACTAAATGAATGGTGTTACTACTTATAGGAAATGAAAAGCAGGAGCAGGTCAGCAGCACTGATGTAAAACAAAGTGTTTTAAATGTGCTTCAGTTAAAAAGATAGAACACTCTAACAGCCATATGGAAGCACTTGCCAATTTCATTGAGGAACTCCTGAAATAGTCTTAAAGGACTGACATCCTTGCTAATATTTTTCAACTTTGCTGAGCTCAATCACAGCTTTTGAACAATCCAATTCACCTAAAAACTTCCCTACTCTGATCCAACAGCAGTGGCACAAAATCTGTAAAATTATAGAGCAATCCAATTTGGGACCCCATTTTCCCTTATGCCTTTAATGTTGAACAGCTAACAGAGACCATCAGGTTGATGATTTCCTAACCCCATGACTGCCTTGATTTCTACCACAGAATTTTGTATATCAGACTGCAAGATAATGCATCACAGAGACCATGCAGAGCTCTAGCGAAGAGGCATTTAGATGGTTATTGATGCTCAGGCTCGACTGGAGGTCATTCAGTGAATGGCAAACGTCACTGTTTTACAAATAACTTTCAATTCTTAGTGTCAGAGGAAAGGGAACGTTAAGGAAGGAGTTTAAGCCCCAGGCATTTAAAAGGGAATATGGTGATATAATCCTTTCAGAGGTAACTTGTTTAGTCAGTAGCATTTCCAGGAGAAGTAGTAAAGCAAGAGACAATCAAGCTTGCGGAATGATGGAAGAGCCTTCACAGCGTATTGTTGCCTCCTCTTGTTCTCTTTGCTTTAAATTCAATGCAGAAGTTGATAGTCCCGTTGCACGAAGAGACAATTAAATATTTCCACATAATTCTGAAGCAGTCTTTGTCCTATTTGTTGTGGCCGTCTCTCTCATGATATATAGATGACCTTGTTTCAGTGAGATAAAGCTAGCACACCCTCTTAAGACTCAGCAGATCGAGGCTTAACAATCAGCGCTCAGTGCAGCACCGCTCACACGTGCATTTGGTCACAGGATTTGGGGTGTGGAGGAGCCCTAGGGACAAGGGGGACCAACCCTCATGGTAACACAGGCTCCCCTCAGTCACTGGAAACTCAGCTCCAACAAACCCACTGCAAGGCACAGAAGAGATCAGAAGGACTAGATTTGCTTCTGCTTTGCAGTCCCTCCGCCTCAGCAACACGAGACACTCTTAATGGGAGGTGTTGGATTATAAACTGAGGAAAATATCCTCCTTCTGTATCACTCCACTTGATAAAACCAGTAATAAAGTGCATTTTAAGGGCTGTGCAAGGCAAAAAATCATCAACCACATCTGGAGGTGAGTGAGAATCCAGGCCACGTTATGGCATGCAATGTAAAACATTCCCTGTGAGAAAACACAGTTTAGCAAACTGGCACTCAGACCTTCCAAAAGTCTCAAATGGTATTCAGGGGCAACCTTATTAGAGGATGCTACAGTACTTCTGCTGTTAAGCAGTCACAGGCATAGCACGCTCAGCTCCTAAAGTTCACGGTATTGAAAAAATAAATTAGAAACACTTGTCTCTCTGCAGAAGCGCCTGCAGCACAGTCTGGGACAAGCAGCAGGAGGCAATGACAATGCAAGGAGAGGGTACAAACAGCAGGAGGGAAATGTCTAGCCTATCAAAGGATGCTCCAGGAGAAACCAAGCTACTCTTGGGATGATTCACAGGCTGTAGCGTGACATCACTGATTATCAGCCTTCTACAACTGCTGCATCACAGCTTCACCCTGTGAAGCTTCTGCCTGACCCTTTCACAGCAGCATACAGGACTTCAGGATACAGCACACAGGACTTCTACAAGCTCTTTCAATGGTTTCATTTCATGAGGAAATAAAAATATATCTGTTTTGGTATGTAATACTCAAATTCAGAGCTGAATCCCACTTTTAAATTCTACCTCGTTACCCATTCTAAGCTACGATAAGCAAAGCAACGCAGTTCTGAAGTACACAGCACAGCTTTCCAACTGCCGCATGGTCGTTTTCAGCAGTGCTTCAGCTGTTTGACTGAACAATGTTCAGTCTCTCAGCATACTAGTTCAGCACAGCAGTTCTCCAGTATCTCCTACATGGACCTCAGTCAGGGGCTATATAGGAAGATGTATATTCTACTATCTAAATAAGAACTCACTTTAACTACACTGACTAAAATTACCAAGGCACACGTGGCCCTGAAATTCCAATCCGGGTACCTAATATTAGTTTCCAAAACCTGTGTTTTATTCTAGTCTGTAAAAATATCAGCATAATCTCTGAACACCTTAAAAAAAAAAAAAAAAAGTAGCTAATAACCTCCACACATAGCTGATAAATCTTTCACATTCTCCTCACCATGATGTGTCACTGTGTTTGCACAGGGCTGCAGAAGGCAATCAGAAACATTATGTACATTGCTATACATTTGTATTACTGCAAGGGGACAAGGTCCACAGTACTTCAATGTTCTTGCAACAATTTTTTTTGTAATCTTACGTCTAGCCTCTGAGACCTGTCATATTCTAGGCAAATCAGCTTTATACTATTTGGACCCTTAAATACATATCCCATTGTAGCAAACACATGGGGAAACTACTAGTGCTTCTTCAAGAAGAATTCAGGAGCCTCATTTCACCTACCCAATTCTGAAAATCTTCTGAGTTCCCTAAGCGGGATACCAGATTTTAAACTGTGGAATTGCCAAACAAATCTGCTCGGCCTTGCATGCTTTGAGCAGGCCAAACCAATCTCAAACGCTGGTAATGAATGTTTGTAACGATGACAAGGATCTAGGTGCAGTACCACTGTGCATTTTACAGGCATGCTATCCTGTATAACCAAGTCGATTCAGATCCTTGTAGCAGCCATTTCTTTAGAAGCCGGCAGCTTCTTGACACCCAGATGAAGCCTCTGGTCTGACAAGAGCTATGGCTCATCTGAAAACTGTGAACAAATACCAAATTATCAACTTCAATCAGACATAAACCAAGGAAGATTAAAAAACAAACAAACAAACAAACAAACAAACAACCCAAACAAACAGCAAAACAACTCCTGGAAACTGGGGACATAAGGCAGCCCTAACATCATACAAATGTCTATCAAAAGCAACTATTTTAGAATATAAACAGCAATGCCTGTTCTTTCTCAGGGATGAATTCTTAAGGAACATTTTTCTATAGGAACACTCTTCTATATAGTTAGTAAGTAGTTACTCCTCGTTTCCTACAAGAGAACATCACACTGCAACAAACCAAAGTTAAACCATTAAAATCTCATCTCAGTGCCCATTTCCTCTTTCTACCCAAAGCAGTGATGCATCTCAAAATACACACACATGCACAGGGTCAAATATACATTTCTGGCAGGAATACCCTCAGTACAGCTTCACTTTTACAAGCTTTGAACATACCCTGAAGAATTTTTTAAAAATTAGAGCAAATCGTGATTTAAAACAACAAAAAAAAAAAAATACTGGAAAGAACGTAAACATGCTCTTGAACTGCTAGCTGTAAACATTTATTGAATTGTTAAAAGTGCACGTTTGGGTAAACTCTTCCCTTCCTCCATGTCTTACTGGTAAACAAGTAACAACGTATACCTCACCATGGCATCTTAAGCCTCAGTGCAAGAACAGAACAGAAAATAACAGTGTTAAGTTAGAATCCAGTTGCTATGCCACAAATGATTTTTATGCAGCTTTAAAATCATACTACAAAGATAAAAATATTTACTGTTTATAATGCTATCACTGAATAGCAAATTGGGCCCTACTGAGTTAGATACTACAAACACAGAGTGAGGAAGAGGTGCCTATTCCAAACACCGCACACACTGCTCGGGTGAGTTTGTGCTTATGACTGGTGCTCTTTGCTTTACCGAGATGATGAAGTTGACGATGCCCATTAGTAACGTTCGCCTCTCAGGCCCCCCAAAATAATAAATCACTTAAGAACAGCTTGGGAAAAGAACAGGGAAAAAAAAAGAGCACCCAGGCCGCAAAGGTTCGCCTTGCAGTGCTGAGGAGGGGAGCAGGGTGCTGGCGGGGGCTCCACGGGCGAGCGCGGGGCTTTTGAGGCTGAAGGGCCCACGTGGGACACGGAGCCAAGGCACTCCCCGCGCTCGGCCGGGCCGACAGCCGCCGTGACACCAACGAAACCCGAACGGGCTCGAGCTTTCGCTGGAAAGGGGTGGGCCGCCCGCCCCGCTCCCCTCAGCGCGGCGCGGCGCCCGGCTGACCGCGCCTCCCCCGGACCCCCCCCACTCCGTACCGGCGGGCAGGAGGCAATCCAGCGGCGTGAACGCGCGCTCCATGGCCCCGGGCCGCCCTGCTCGGGGGGCGGGCACAAGGCAAAACAAAACAAAACAAAACAAAACAAACAACAACAAAACCAACACAACACGGGGAGCGGCGGTGCCCCCCTCCCCTCTTCTCTCCCGTGAGGAACCGGCACCCCGGGGGGGCGGGGGCGGCGCGGCCCCGGTACCGGTACCCGCCCCCGGGGTGGTGCGTCCCACCGCGCGGGCAGCGAGGCGAGAGCATCGATCGGCACCGCGATCCGTGGCTCGGCGGTGGATTCAGCGGCGGGAAGGCGGGGCCGGAGGGAAGCGGCGGGGGAACGGGGGGCTCCGCGCCGCCCCCTCAGCGCCTCTGCGGGCCCTGAGGGGGGAGAGGCGGGCCGGGAGCGGCGGCTGCCGCCGCCCCTCAGGGGAACGTCCGACACCCGAACGGCAACCTCGGTACGGCGGGGCAGGGCAGGAAGCGCAGCCGCGAGGCGAGGGGAGGCGGCGTTATTTTCTAAACGAGTGGCCACAGCGGACTTCCTTTTTATTAAACATTATCTGGTGTACAGACGGGTGACTGAGGGCAAAGAGTGATAGGCACCGTCATTAAAATCCACAGCTTGCTGTCAGTGCTGGAAGTGTTCCGCTTGGAGATCCTGCAGCTCGCTAGGGATAAAAGTCGTTAATAGGTTCCAGCCCACTGAAACTGAAGGAAAAAAAAATAAAACGGCAGCCGTGAACTGGGGCCGCGATCCCACAGCGGCACCCCAGCCCACCACGTCCTTCCGCCATCCAAGGGCTCCCGAAAACCCCGGGTCCCCCAAAACCCCCCAGATCCCCCAAAACCCGTCGTCCTGAGGCCCGCAGCCTGGCCTGACGGGCACCGGATTCGCCTGCCATCGCTGCGCAAAGCCCGGGGGGTGGAAACAGCCAGCGCACGGTGCCCACCGCTCTCCTCCTTTTTGGAGGCCTCGCAGGATAACGTGGCGGCGGCGGCTGCAGCATCCGTTAAAAAAAAAAAAAAAAAAAAAAAAAAAAAAAAATATTTAAATCCACCCCAAAGCTTGCTACAGCCTCTAACAGCTTGCAGAGTCTTCACTGGAAAGTTAATCCTCCTCAGATTTGGACGTGCACACGCACACCCGCAAGCTGCGGCGCCCGTGTTTCCGCCTCCCGCCGCAGCCTCCGGTCCCCAGCGGGGCGCGGGGCGGCCACCTCCTCGCCCCACGGCGCCCGCTGGCGGGGAGCGGCGCGGGGCCCCGCAGCAGAGGGCAGCAGAGGAGCGCGCCGCGCCGCGCCGCGGCTCCCCGCCTTGCGCTTGGCAGCTCCCCTAACGAAACAGCTTGAGTTTTAGAACACGATTTTGGGTTGGGTGGGCAATGCAGGGTTTTCGTAGCTACTCCGTGCAAGCACGGAGTTCAACCAGCGGAGGCAGCGGGGAAGACTTCTCTCATACCCCCACCCAACATAACCACGCAGGCGTTAGGGATCTTAGCAGATGATTATGATTTCCAGGAAATCACATGAATATGCTAATTGCTACCCTCCCTTCTTTGATTTTAATATCAAGGATTACAATCGATGATGACTTAGAACAGAAGTATGGATAAGGTGAGGTAACTGATGAAGCCAATCATTATAAAGGTAAAATTAAGAAGCGAGCATTCTATGTATTTTTGAACCGTATGTAGCCATGACTGCTAAAAAAGTCTATAAATACATTGTGCTTTCTACTTGTTGGTGAACACATCTTTGGTGGAGCTATGCCCCACGTTCCCCAGCGCTGGAATAAAGAAGTGCCTGCTTATCTGCTTTGTGTAATTGAGTTTTCTTCGTGATGGCGACTACGGATGCCCCCCCCGCCGCTGGGTCACCATTTCATGCGTGCCTTCCACTGAGGCACCCTGGGCTGGGGTTAGACGGGAGGATGAGGTCTCGTTTCGGGGGAAAAAGGCGGTGCCATAGCCATCTGAGGGTTCTGGTCAAACGCGAGGGAAAGCAGGACCAACACGTCAGCCCACTACGAGCCTAAAATTCACAGATTAACAGGATTTAAGTGGTTTAAGTGCTTGGGCAAGGACGGGCCACATTTATTCTGGGTGATGGCGCAAGTCTGCAATGGCTGTAGGTGCACATTTGGTCCGAATGGTACAAGCACTAAGCCTTGGCTTGGGACCTTTCAGATAAACTGCCCTGCCACCTGTGAGATTACACTCTACAGGCAATTTTAGTCTACAAAGATTGATAGAAGTTCATTGGAAGCGTTCACATCTTGACAGTGAGAGAAATGAGAGGTTACTGGGAAACAAGGAAAAGATATTAAGGACATCAAGAGATTACTGTTGTTTACAGAAATAAAAAATGGTTTGTTTCACTTTCATGTCATTTGAAAGTTTTCTTCCCTCTCCAATGAGAACTTGAATTTCAAAGGCTATTAGGACTTTAGTATCATCTCAGCATCATTCTTTAAACACGTTAAGAACAACCAGCATTAGGAAGAAGCTTGCCCTCCCTGCCAAGAAAGAACACCATGCGTGGACTGCCGTGCAGTTGGCCTGTGCTCCCCTCCTCTTAATTAACTGTCTTCCACTCATCTTTTTTTTTTACTCCCCCTTTCAATTTTGCCTGGCACTTTCCCACTGCTGAATAAAATTATTAAACCTTCTCTAAGATAGCTTATTTTTCTTCATTATCTGTCAGTTTCTCTAGATTTTTTTTTTTCATTGGGGGGGCACCATCTGGTACAAGTAGTTGCTGATAAGTAGCAGTGACTTCTCATGAATGAGAACAGCCATACTTACTCAGAGGGAAGGTCCATCTCAGGCAGGGCCTTGATATGGGAAAGTGAACACTTAGTAAAATATTGTCACTCTGACAAATGAGTCAGAAAGACAATGAGAAACTTCGTTATAAGGGGCTTTGAAAGATGATAGAAACTTTTGTTGTAAGACGGCTTGAAAGAGATATCCAATCATTATTTGCAGCATCTGCAAGGAGACATCTGGTGGGAGCCGGTTTTGCGGTTACTGGCTGAAGTAACTCAGCATTCTGGGATAAAGGTGAAGAGTACATGGTGAAAAAGACCATGAGCCTTCCTCCAAAAGACCCCACCGGATGGCAGTACGCATGTGGCAAGAGGAAGAGACTTAGGATAACGAATTCCCAGAAATAATTATAATAATCATGCCTATTCTTAGAACTAATTGTAATAACCCAGCCTATACTAAAGAATATGCATGGGTTTGTATCATAAATTATACCTGCTTCGTGATACGGTGTGCAAGGTCGGAGGAGCGATCCCCCTTGCACCCAGCACTGCAATAAACATACCTGCTTTATAACTCTTTGTGAGTTGTAGAGTTTGTTTCCACACATCAGCCTCATTCCTGGTAGTGTTCACTTACAAGCCTTCCTCAGCCTGCTCTCCTTTGCTCCTTTTCAACATTTTTTTTTTTTTTCCTGTAAATGCAACAATTTCCATCTCTCCACCCTCTTCATATCTGACAAGATGCTTTTTCCACCTCTGTCAAGCCTGGGGTTCCAGGCAATCCTTTACCAGCCACTGCTGCAAGAAAGTAATTGTACCTTTCTCCGCTGATCATAGTAATGCATGATTCATCACAACAATAGCATTACAAAGCAAAATCAGTCTTGAGAGAGCAGCCTGGCACTGGTATCCTTTAAATCCTTTCAAGGTGCACAAGGGTCTGCAAGGTAAGGCAAACCGCCGGCCCGCTCCACAGTGAGGCAAGGGGCAAACAAGCCAGATGCGCTTTCTCTCTCTGAACTATCTTTCTTCCACTGCCCTTTCTTTCAGGTATGAACCTCCCAACCACAGCATAAAGCTCTTTTGAAGAGTCAACTCCACAGGCATAGCTTCAGTCAATTCTGAAATGCACTCATCTCCAAGGCAGGACCTGAAAACTACTTAGTGCTGTTTAGCAGAGGCTAACAAAGGAATCTAGTAGAGGAAGTTTCAGAGAGGCAAAATGAATAACTCCACGCAGCCTGGCATGTTCTCTTACGGATAGTCCCTTAAGAAGAACAAGCAGTCAGGAAGCTGATTTCCTTTTTTGAAAAATAAGCACTTTTACCTACCTTCTGCACTTTACCTCTGTACGAGGACATCAGTTGAATTTTTCCATGAAGGGCTACCACTTAATGAACTAGCGACAGTTTTTTTCCTGTCACGCATGGGAAATTCCTCAGTAAATATTATGTCTATTTTTCTAGGTAGCATATAAGATTCAGCAGTATTTCTTTCCTCTAGCTAGATCTCAAATCAAGCCAAACCAAACCAAAGCCTTCTCCCCTGTTCTTTTCCTCTGGCTGTATATGCCGACATTACTTTGCGAGGTTTGCAGAAGAACATGCAGAGAGGCTATTCAAGACAGACATCCCAGGAGCACTGTTCTTGTGCTTTGATTGCTGCTGTCTCCTCTGATTAGCTAAAAGGAGGGCAGGTGACCTCAACCCTAAGTGAGAAAATAAACTTGCAAGCATGTGTAGTTCCTGAGTGACGGATGAGGCTGGCTGACAGGGGAAGTTTCTGAGTGATTGGCAGGAAAGGTTGAGGGAGTTTTAAACCTCCTTTTAAACTTCCTCTGGTAACTAGTTATCCAGTCACACCTTTCACCTGATACACTTTCTGTTAGTTTTCTACAGACTTGATGACTGGTCTGTGTTTGGAGAAACTGTAATTTATATATATTATTATATATATTTATGTTGTAATGTAAAAAATATTCTTATCAGACTCCAGATAGCTTCCTCTTCTTTAGGAAGACTATTCAGAGAAGCAGTCGGTTGGGCAGCTTCTACAGAGTACAGTTATGACATGACTGGCACTGCACTTTGGCACGACTAAAGCTGATCAGATGGGAAGAGTTGAAGGGTGATAAGGAGGACAGCAGCAGGACAGCAGCTTTCATTTACTCAGAACATCTCCTGAGACTTAGCAAGGAAAGAAGATGGAAGTCAACATGAATTGCAAGGGGATGTAAGTGGGATTTATACAATAGGGTGAAAACCTGCAGGGTTTGCTGTGCTTCCTTAGGATGATCATTGTCTGCATATCCCAGTACAAATACATGGCCGAGGCTAACTTATATTAGCATTACCCGCTTTCAGAATTTTTTTCCTTCTTTCAAATAGCCCAATCTAGTTGAGACTGAAAGGTCTAGAGACATTTAAGGACTTTGTCCAACAAAATGATAGGACCTGTCTCTAGCAATCACAGCATCATGGCTCTTCCCCAGACCAAAGTCAGATTGGCCTGGTAATGCTAGACGTCATCATTTAATGTTTTATTTTTTGCTCCTTCCCTTTAGACATCCTTCACCAGAATTAGAATTGTATCTCTGTGCTTGACTGAAAAGTACTTTGGGTACTGTTCAAAACCTATGGCAGATTTCAGTAATTAGCAACGTGTATCTGATGCCTCTTGATTGGAAAGTATGTGGAATCAAAACTACGTGAGTACCTTCAGAGGTCTCTCTTAGTGATGTCTGAAACAAGCTGCTTGTAAAGCAGGGGGCATTTGTTCCTCCTGCTATTCCAATTTTATTGCTAAGCCAGAACAGTCTCTACAAGGCTGGTAATCAGGATTCATGCAATGTGTAAATGTTAAGAATATTTTCTCCTTCTCTCCACAGCTTAACTTTATATTAAAATGAACCCATAGTTAAAGCTAGCAGGCTGGGATGCTTCATTCTGGTACCTATTCCAGTATTTATGCAGAATAATAAGGTTGGGAATGTTTAGCTAGCTCAGCTGTCTGATTGTCTGAACATCCTTAAGTGCTTTATAATTCAAAAAATGCAGGCATCAGTAGATAAATGG